GAAGAGAGCTGAAGTGTGAATCGCTCTTAGGCGAAGTGTGTTGTAGACGAGATTATTTTGTGCTGTAAAAGCCGTTTTAGTTGATTAAATTCATTATTGCTGGAGGACATTGTGGTCTCTTACAATCCACCCAAGTTTACAATCGGATCGGATTTGAGGTAGCAGACCCCAGAAGAAATAAAGGGTTGACAATCAAGGTCGTATACCGACCCACGCTACAATATTCTATTTCATAAACGTCCTAATGGAACAAACAAAACAATAAATAAGGACTTCAAACACCTGTTTACAGAAAGCAACGTTACTATGATCTCTTCTTATCTGCGTAAAGAAGGACTAGGAAGCAAACACAAAGCCTGGAGAGGATTACGACGACTTACCTGTTGCTGCTGCTGAGAATCTCGTCTTTCCTTGTACAGGGAGAGAATGGGGCCTCTGAGAACTGCCCACACCTGCTTCCATGACCTGTCACCAGCTCGCTGGAAAGAAACACTTCGATAACAACGAAATTACTATGAACACCACAACCAAAAGTAAATTAACACGATAATGTTAATAGCTATTGCTAACAACGTGACCCATGTCATCCATCTCAGGCAGCTGGTTCAATCCATTCATGGCGTAAATCATTTTAAAAACAAACACCATTTGATTTTTCTTCATACATCAACATGTTCAATGCACTTTTGGTTGAAATAAAATAACTACCTTGCCATCCACGAGCGTTATCTTGCAGTGCAGCCATCCTTCTCTCAAAAGATTCTCTTTGGTACTTTCTGGTCGGAGGGTTTCTGCAGTGTTGGTGGGCTCGGTTCCAATGCTGCTGCTGTAATAAATCATGAAGAGAAAAGTTCACATCAATCAACACAAGTCTCTTCACTTGTAACCCGGGTAAAAGCGAAGCGAAGAACAATGTTCTAATGAAACATTCACAACAAAGTTTACGTATATCAAGACCAAAACATGCGTCCTAAAAAACTTGTTTCCACTAGGCACAGAGGTTTATTCTACTACGCGGAACACGTCATTAAACTGTTGACATTTCATGCGTTTGCTATTACAAGATGATCGAAATCGAATACAGTGAAAGGTAAACCAATCATATCATCTGCGTGGGGAGAAAATAAAACGTAAAGCTCAATGAGAAAAGTCGCGTTTCTTCGAAACAAACATCTTTTAAAAAATCACGCGTTAACTTTCCACTCTGATCACATCCTTAGTGGGCACACGAAGCACGGAGTTGGTGTAAACTATTTACTGTCTTACGTGGGAAACTTATTTCAGCTTTACCTCAAACTGTTCAACTTGTTTTACGGAAAACATATTGCCAAAAGCAAACATACAGCAACATCTTTCACTGAAAAATATATCTATCCATTGCTAATATTTTAAGCCATTTTTCACAAAGGCATAAAGACATTTCAAACGCTCATATTAAACAACGGTACGGAGAGTACAAGACTTTCTGAGCTAACCCGCTTGTGGGTGCGATGTCCAAACTCCTCTTGAAGCACATCACAGGCAAGCAACTTTTTCTTTAAAAAAATAGCTTCTGGTCGGTTGCCATGTACCGGAAGTTACTGATATGGACACACTCTACAGACAAATATTTCAATTACATGCTTATTACTTTGTAGGTGGATTTTTATCTTCCCAAAACATTCGCAATGCAACACAAAAAACACGAATTACTTTGACGCCTCGAGAAACACTCAAATGTTCGAAAACCCTACACGCCTCAAACCGCTCGGCAACCTTTGACCGACTTCATTCGTGGCATAAACAGGCATTTCGAAGAAAGTAAATTACAAATGAAATAATTCATGTCGCCATGTAGGATGACAAACTAATAAAACGATACGTCGTGTAAAATTAAACAAAATTAACATACAGCTGCTAACTACAGAAAACAATACATAAACATTAGTGCACGTTACAGTTGAAACAGCGTTACTATAAATAATAATGACTATTATGCTAAATTAGATTCTATACATAAAATTACCATTAGAATTAGATGGAATTAATCTTTGCTAAGCGGACAAAAATATTGGATTATAAGAAGTATTATCATTGTGAGGAATTAAAGGGATTTCTGAACAAATAAGACGCAATTATTTGACTGCTAGATTATTATCATCAACATTAACATCGCGGAAAAGAAAAGGTGTATCGACTAACATTAACTCCGAACTTTGAAACAGGACAAAGGAAGGACATGCTTAGCAAACGGTAATGAAATCCGCAAAGAGGAACATATTTTATTCAACCGCGTAGAATACATCGGTGGGATGAGTACGACTGAGTTACTTTGGATATATGAGAGAAAATTAAAACTGGTCTACAAGCATGCGGGTTTCTGTAACACACGACAAAATAAATGACGTGACAGCACGCGACTTAATTGCTGTTGGCTATCTGTCGTACGTAACGGTCGCCACGTGACCACCACCAGGTGTGTTCTGTGGTTCAACCAGTTTATGGTTAAACTTCCGTTTCAAATCATGGACAACTGAAAAGGATACATTCCCACACCCCTCATCAACAACCACTTAAAACGTACGCATTACAATGGCCATCTGGAAGGAACGCCCCTGCATGCTTATCGTGGAGGGTAACTTTTATGGAGGGAACAATCGCAGAAGCCTCAGAACGGATTTTCAACCGAAGATAATGAGTATTTCAATGCCTTACAACAGTCACTGTGTAGAATAATATAAAATACAGCATTCTTCCAGGCTAAATATACATACATGGATCAACATATTAAGGACAGAATGACAAAAATGTTTACCCCATTGCAATTATCAAAACCAAATTCAATCCAACTATCTTGCATTTATTTACCCGCAGGTCTTCAATGTTCCTAAAGTTTGCACGGACTTCGATGAAATGAAATTTTGATTGAGCCCTTGTTAAACGAATATCAGAAATAATTTTTAATGTTGTGTCCTTTAATATATGATGAAACACATATTAAGAAGCACTTGTTCTATTTAATTCAAGTACCATTTGGTTTACTGATGGTCATACAATCTGTAGCCAACGAGCATTTTAACGGTAAAACAAAATATGGTACCATAAAGACACAAAACAGCAGATGACAACAGAATACATGAAGAACACAGACCCAGGTCATGCTGTATCAACAGTCAGAGTGAGGTACAAAGGCTGCAAGAAATTGTATAATTATCTGCAAGAGAAGTCAGTAGCACAAAACTGCTCATCTGCATATATTTAAATATGTGATTAATGTAATTTCCTAATAAACATATGGCATACAGTTACAAGCAACATGATCAATTAAAGCTTAGTTTTTTCAGGAAATTCATTATTGCTGTGGAACCAAATGTTCCTCACTACCATCACAAAAATCTGTCACCAGGCCCTACCCTGAACCACGTCAATACAAGAACCTGAAATCTCACAGGTCAATACGATACTATTACCTTCCATCCTATACCTATGTCTCCAAGGTGGCCTCTTTCTAAGTCTTTAAAATAAAATTTTGTGTTCAATTCTTGTGTCTTCTGCAGGTACTATTCTACACGTTATGCTTATTTCAGTCTCAGTGAACTACAATGCATATGAAACACTCTAGTGCCACTGACTCGTCTAAAAGCAAAGAGACGTATACATGCCGAGTAGTACATACATACTACATACTTCCATCAGACACTGAAACGTTGAGCATGCCTGATCTAAACAAATGTAAAAACTCTTCTATGTTCCTTCAAAATGAAAGACAACAAATAAAAATAAAAATGCAACAAACAGTTAACAGTTAAGAAGAACGAGGGATCACATCAGAGAGCTGTGACCACCATTTTCACAAACCAAAGTTACCAGCCCTTCGGAGTTCAAAATTTTATGATAGCATTAAAATACCAGAATTCTGATGAAAGTGAAATTGGGTTCCCAATTCTCGTGTATGAGGCTGCACTATAGAAATCTAACTCATAAACCTCTAAAAATTGTTTCTCCATGAAAAAATAATCTCAGTTATAACAACTTGCATAACTAAATGTAATTAAAACATATTTAATAAGTAACTGACTAACTCCTTGCATTATAACTGGAACTCTATTACAACAAAATGTTAAGCACCCAAACTTACCTAAAAAACAATATGAGCTGTAGCAAAAAAAAAAAAAAAAAAAAAATTCCAGACTGGCTGCAAGGTGAAACTAAAAAGTGAGTTTCTCAGCTAGATTATAGTAGAATATAATCTGCTGAATCATTTGCTGTTAATTTCAAAATCTATGACATTTTAAAACTTGCTTTTGAAATGGAAACAATAGCACAATTCAAACATCCTAGTGGTTTTTACAGTTAAAAAGTGGAATAAACTCTGCTGTGAAAGTGAATCCCCACGTGTGCTGATGAAACCACGCATCATGAGTTTACCCTATAAGTGGATGTTTGAATAACTTTAGGTGTAATATTTATCTTGAAGCAGACATAATCAATTTTGAGAATGTACACAGGATAAAATTAAAGTTACTGATCCATACACAAACATATGATTAAGACAGGTGTAAAATAATAACTGTTCTCTTCTGTGTAATTATGCTCTTACAATATTTCTGTCCATTTTTCCAAAATTACAGTAAAGGCCAACAATTCTATTACATAACTATAGGCAGCTCACACATTCTACAGTGTCTAAAGAAGATGAACACACAAACACATAACATACGTACAAATATAATCAGAAAGAATTTCTCCAGGCTCGATGAACCACACAGAATGTTGCATCAAAGTAAGGCATTAACAATGGAGACAGTCTTTCTTGTGTCAATGGAACAATGCAGGAATACATGTCTGAACATAATGCATTGTACATATGTAATCTGCCATTGGGAAAGTGGACAGTACCTCATTATAAGATTCCATCACCTCAAAGGGCAAGTGAGTAGAGGTCAGTTCAATAATACCATAACTGGAAGGACTCGTCATGTGCATTTTGAATGGTTTCCCATTTCATCACTGTGTCAGTTATGCATGAAATGTTTTACAAACTTTCAGATCAATCACAGAATAAAGGATCTTCCCACAGGCTGTCTTAGATATTTCACAAAATCACATCTGCTTCCAAACTGTATATTAGAATAATAACAAAACTTCACTCACCAACCTATGAAACTGACAAAATATTTCAGATAATTAGAATGTTGTTTATTTTATTACTTCAACAACGATTCATTTACTGTGAAACTCCTGTATAGCTTGCAGTGTCAGCAGTAAAGCCATAATTCACATATTATCATACGAATGTAAATTTGATTGGAGAACAAAACCAGGAAAGTGAGTTTCGGAATGTGTGGAAAACAAAAATTCAAAATATGAAAGAAATGTGCAACATATGTTTCAGAATATTATGGTGGCAAGAAGTAATTTCAATGGGGAAAGTTAAAAAAAATCAGAAAAAGCTGTCACCACTGTTAATGTATGAGTAATAATAGGGAGTTGGGACTGGTTCATTGAGTCTATTCAAACAGCTGGAGGGAGGCCAAGACTCTCTCACCACTGCTGTTGCCTAGCAGGAGCTGGAGTCGGTTGTGGTGATGGAGCTGCGGCTTCTTCAAAGAGCCGTTTCAGTCGTTGAATGTCATCAGGAAACAAAGGAGGGCGCCACCGTCTGTGGGCACTGCAAATTCCCATCCACATTCACACCTATTTTACATATGCACTCATACCCAGGCTTTATTTTCTAAACTTGTCTCTATAAAAATCATCTCATTTTGCTTGTTAAGGATATAGACAGATATAAGGAAGGAAATCTAAAACATCCAAATTGCAATACCAATATAATGTTTCCAATTATTCCATCACTGCAAAATCAAAATGAAAATCATATCACCAAATGTTCAGTATTGCACTATGTGTATGCTCTACCTAAATACATATGAATTTTGTAATTCAGAATTTTTATCAATCTTAATACATGAGCATGCTTTCCCTTATTAATTCATAATTTTATACAAATAATTTATGTATTCTACTTCATATCTTTCATCAAACCTGATATAAATCTTCATAGAAAAGTTTTGTAATGTAAGTATATAATCTGTTTGTATATTTTGATTTGACTTTCATTACAATTTAAAATAATAATGTTTACAATATACACAATATAAACTGTTTCAGAATTTTACTACAGTTACAGAAGTCAATGCTCATAATTTTGTTATAACCACATGTCATGTGTGGCATAAATCAACAAAAATCTAATAAATTAATATATTTGAAGTACAAAAGTATATTTCTCACAGATTACCTATACTTGTGTATCAACCACTATGTACTGTTAGCTCTAAGAAATATATAATTTTCAAATAAAATCACTAGACATCACCACTAATGCAGCCATAAAGCAGCGATAGTTTTCTCAAACCAGAAAATTCACTAAACTTCAATTTTCATAACAAGTGACTGGCTATAGTTTTAATGTAGCACGGTCCATTTTCAGCCTAATGAAGTAACAATTGTGATTTTTAATTTAAGTATTATGAAACCAACAGAGTTAAAACATGGCCCATAGCAAAGCAAAAACACTAATTTCTGACCAGTAGTTCCACTCATTCCAATACTAAACCCAAGTAAGCACTTTCAACTGGACATTTCACAAAGCAGAATACAAAGCACAACAGTAAATTCTATTCTGTACACAACACAGTAAAGTCATATACTAACTAACAAAATTTCATATATAATGGTACGCCAGGCAAGTGTCATGTTTCTGAGACTTCACACACACCAATAAAATTTGACAATCTCCATGTAACAGATGGAATAAATATCGCACCTCTGGTATATGGACAGTTTATTACCTCAGTTTCCCCATAAGGTGACATGTCTTGCACCTAATTTACATTACATTTACAACTTTACAGTGTAATGTTTTACAACAGAAAATTATTAATACTGAAGAAAAAGCAAACTATTTTGTATATAGTGGTCCTACCTTCGAAGCTGCATGCGCGGTGATTCCGCATCACTGAGGTCTAGGTCGCTATCCACATGCATGCGATCACCCCATGTGGCCTTCAGGTAGGACACCCTCCGCACCAGTCGTTCCTCTTCCGCTGCAACATACAAAATAGTAAACAATCTAATTTTTTGCTACCCACTTTTTGTTTGGCAAATTATCCAAAGTAAATAAAAGTTTATAGTTTCACCATCTGTCAAAGGCAAATTTAACTTTTAACACATTCACCGCTGAAATCAGTGTTTCCCATTTACCAGATACACTGTAAGACTGCCAGTGCCCCCACCCCCAAAGAAACCACCACTTTTTATAACCTGGGTTTTAAGCCCAGGCATTTAATTGCCACCTGCTTGTAAATGCCCGGAAGTGTATGTGTTAACAGAGATACTCTTTCAAATAGCAATAAAATCAATTTCCTTCCTCATTATGGAATACTTGGCCAAACTTATCAATGATCTAATTATATACTAACAAAAAGCTTTCTTTATAAACAGGCAAAAAATCCTTCATTAATAATCTAGTATCATTTAAGACCATTAACCAGAATTGCTATGTAAATAAAAGTGTTACATTTTAAGAATATGTAATGTTTCATTATTGAACCTAATGCAACAAATAAAATGCAATGCCTACTAACTTCACATTTTCCTCTTTACAAGCTGTCATAATAAAATATAACCAAGACATTTGTAACTTTGAAAATGAGAAATAAATCAGTAATCTAAACTATAAAACTTCTGAAAGTATTAACTGCATAATACCCAAACATGATTAAACCATAATAAACGGAATGTGCCAGAGCTCAGGTGGTTAGTCACTGGCTTCTCATGGCAAAGGCGCAAGTCAACACCCAGGACAGACAGACCATGCAGGATTTGTGGTGGACAAAGTGGCACTGGGACAGGCGTTTCTCAGAGTCCTTTGGTTTTCCCATCAATATCATTCCATCACTGCTCCATATTCACTCATGTATCATCAACGGGATGGACAGTGACCTATTCATGACCCAATTTAGCAGAGAAATAGTCTCACCCAACAACAACAAAAAAACATAACAGTCACTTGCTGTAATAATGTATGAAAACAGTACTTTGTACTGAACTGTAACATAATCTAAAATAACAATATCTTAATTTTATAAAACCATGTTATTATACCAATTTATTACTAAAATATTAGTATTACAGCAACCATATGCAATAAGGCAGAGATCTACTGAAAATTTTCAAAGAGTAGCAACCAGTAGTAATGTTAGTGCTACCATGCTCAGAAATATATTTCCAGATTTCAGTCAAAGGAAAAAAGCATTAACTGGGATTTGAAACCATAGCCTTCAGTTTGATAATCTACTTTAATAATCACCTTGCTAAACCATCACTCAAAATCACATGTAAAGGAGGCCTAGTGATACAAAACTTGATACAACTGCATTTGGAATTAATTAAATTATTTGTAAACATAAGATGATGCGAACAGCTCTAGGGTGCATTACCATTTTACATGTATTTTGAAACAATTCTGATGACGTCACATACATATATGCTTGCCATTCAAAGTTTATGTCACTAATAAAAGGATATCTGGAAGATAAAGGTAATAATTTTTGTGCATAAAGGGCATGGGAATGAATGGAAGCGGTAATGTGTGTGAAACAATGGAAATCCTAAGGTGAATAAATCATCACAGTGTTTTCACTGAAACCTTTTAACCCCAATTTCTTGGGGGTACCTCATCACTGTTATTATAGGAGGCTTTTATTTCTAAAGATGGCAAACATTCAGAACAAAGAATATAAATTAATTTTGGGGTCCTAACTTGTGGTTATAGAGAAAACTGAACACATCCATTTTCCTTTTCTGCTCATATCACAATTCCCAAAAGCAAATTCATAAAATTTTATAACTCATATGAGAATTAATTTGAGTTATAACGATTAAGAATACAAGCAATAAAAAATCTTTGATTACTGTAATTAAGTAGACAATATCAACTTTCATTCCATTCACCAAAAAATTCCCTAACACTGACTGCAGAAATTAGTGGAACACATTCAGGGCTCAGTAGCCACAACCACAACACTTATAATATCTGCATAAAACATGAATATCACGGGCTGATCCCTCGTCCAAGGAGTCCTACCGAATGTCCATAGATCAAGCCAACTGAAAAAGTTGGGGACCTGTAAAGGGTACCGGAAAATGTACAAACATTGTTAAACCGGAAAAAGAAGAAAAAACATGAATATTAATATTTCACCCTTGAAACATTTGTGATTTTACACACAGATGGGAATAAATGCTGGAGATTATTTCATACAATAAGTGCATTTAAAAACGTAAAAGTTAAACACATATTCGTAATCACCTTTCATTTGGATTTGAAACATTCTGCTACTCTGGTTACCCTAATTACAAACAACACCAACTTCCTTCACCCCCTACAAGAAATGCTTGGATGATGAAACAAAACATGGCTGCACCCTTCACAGTCACAATCAATATAACCATTTAACAACACAATTCCCTAATGATCCCAACAAAAAATAATTTACTAACACAAACAAACAAATAGGATTTTAGGTTTCCTGGACTGAGAGTACGAAGATGACTGTCCCTTGGGTTGTAGCATCATGTAGCCTGGTAGAAGTTTACCAAAGTTTCAGAGACCCTGCTGTCTCCACCATGGTGGAGGCAGCAAGGACCTCTGAAACATTGGTAACTGTCTACCAGACTACAAGATGCTACAACCCAGAAGATTGCCATCTTAACAGGATTTTGTTTCTATGTCCAAAATAAATGCCTCATAAAGACTGAATTAACATATCTGATACTCCTTGAACATTATGAACTGAAAAGAATTACAATGCCTTCTGATTTCTTAGGACCAATGGGAATCAAATGATTCATGAGGTTCAAAGTAAAGTAAACATGGGGATTACATCAGCAAATGAACTATACTTACAAACATTTTGGTTTTTCTGACGCCGAATAACACCTGATGTGTCAGGAGTTGACGTAGTGACAGCAATGCTACTGTCACTTGAAAGTGTACTAGGAATTGTACTAACAGGAACTGAAACAAACGAGGTGACAAACACAACATGCCACATCAATGCAGGCAAGATCACAGGACAAGCAATGCAACCTCAAAGCTACATACTACATTCTTACAGGAAAGGTTATTTGTTATTTAAAAATGTAAACACTGTTGAACAGTTTCTTGACAATCTGCTTTGTTGGGCACTTGTACTTCACATCTCAGTCATTCTAATCAACCTTAATTGACTGTCAATACACACTAAAACAGTGTAACACTATTCCATAATTTTCTGCTTCCAAGCACCATTTGTACCTTTCTAAGTTTCAAAGCCACACAAAATCTTTATGACCATGACAACAACACGATCTTGTCCAATTCCATGAAGTCGATGATTGTTTGAGATTTCATGTGTCTTCTGTTAACATGTTTTAAAATCGTACTCTCATTTGGTTAGAGATAAATGAACATTTGAAAAACTAAACCCATCAATAGTTTATATTCTACTAAAGAACTAATAATTTAGCCAAAGTGATTACTTTTATCTTTAAATGTGCATGCAGTAACATGCTCAAGCAGCAACTTTCTGAGATTATAAGTTAGCATACGTACGTATGTATGTACATACATACATGCACCACTTGAACCAAAAATAAGCCAAAAGCATGCTATAAAACAAATTACTGTACAACACAACTCAAATTAACTGTTCTGAATTAAACAAATTATTCTATAATTCATATTCTATTAAATATAAAATCCAGTAGAGTTGCCTCAATTCAAAGATGGCAGTCTGCTGGGTTGTTGCGCCGTGCAGTATGGCAGAAGTTTACCGACATGTGAGGGGTGATTGATGCCTCTATTATCAGGGTGATAATAATCGCCCTGCTGATGGAGGCAGCAAAAACCTCTGAAACGTCTGTAAACTTCAACTATACTACATGGCACAACAGCCCAGAAGAGCCATCTTCAGACTCACCGCCATGAAAACCTAAATTCAGCTGCAAACTCTAAAGGTTCAAAACACATCAGTTATTTTCTTACACTAGTAAGGTATTGGAGATATGGAATAAAATGTGGTGATATGGTAAGACAACAGTCTCCAGTACTTCATACACAATAGCACTTAGGTGGCATTCTATGAGCAGAGATCAAAGCTTCCACCTCTGCTGAAGTTTTGTGTGGAGGAAACCAGACCTCCAACATGGGTCAGTTGCAGTACCTCCTCCTCCAGCCATCATGCTATCACAGGCTGATAAAGGGATTGAACTGTGTCAACATGTCTACAAAATAATCAGTGTGAAGGAAACTAAAACACTGAATAAAATATGCAATGTGTTTTAATAAGTTATCCATAAAATACAATGATGTGGTGGACT